GATTGAAAGTGAGGGGATGGAAAAAGATAGTTCACACAAATGGAAATGACAAGAAAGTGGGGGTAGCAATACTCATATCAGACAAAATAAACTTTAAAACAAAGGCCATAAAAAAAGACAAGGACACTATACCATGATAAAAGGATCACTACAAGAAGAGGACATTACACTTATTAACGTATACGCACACAATATAGGAGCACCTAAATACATAAAACAAATACAGATATAAAGGGAGGAATCGAAGGGAATACAATAATAATAAGATGCTTTAATACCCCACTAATATTAATGGACAGATCTTCCAAACAGAAAAACAATAAGGCAACAGAGATCCAGAATGACACAATAGAACAGTTAGGCTTAATTGATATCTACAGGATATTACATCCAAAAAACCCAGAATACACATTCTTTTTCAAGCGCAGATGGAATATTCTCTACAATATACCACATACAAGGACAAAAAATAAATCTCAACAAACTTAAACGGATAGAAATTATTTCAAGCATCTTTTCTGACCACAACAGCATGAAACTAGAAATTAATCACAGAAAGAGAAATAAGAAAACGATTACATGCAGACTAAACAACATGCTACTAAAAAACCAATGCATCAACAATTAAAGCAAAGAGGAAATCAGAAAATATGTTGAGACAAATGACAATGAAAACACAGGGAATTTCAGTGATAGAGGCCTAATTCAAAAAAGAAGAAAAATCTCAAACAACCTAAACTATCACCTAGAAGAATTAGAAAAAGAAGAACAAAACCTAGTCAGCAGAAGGAAGAAAATAATAAAGATCAGAGAGGAAATAAAACATAGTGATAAAAAAATAGAGAAAAATTAATAAAAACAATTGCTGTTTTTTGAATAGATAAAAATTGACAAACTTCTGACCAGCCTCATCAATAACAAGAGAGGACCCAAACAAACGAAAGAAGAAATGAAAGAGAAATAACACCTGATTCCACAGAAATACAAAAATTCATAAGACAATTCTATGAAGTTATATGCCAACAAAATCAACAACCTAGGAAAAACATACAAATTTCTAGAAACATACAGCCTCCCAAAATTGAATAAAGAAGAAACATAATTCGAACAGACTGATCACTAGAAATGAAATAGAATCTGTAATTAAAAAAAAACAAAACAAGAGGGGCTTCCCTGGTGGCGCAGTGGTTGAAAGTCCGCCTGCCAATGTAGGGGACGCAGGTTCGTGCCCCGGTCTGGGAAGATCCCACATGCCGCGGAGTGGCTGGGCCCGTGAGCCGTGGCCGCTGAGCCTGCGCATCTGGAGCCTGTGCTCTGCAACAGGAGAGGCCACAACAGTGAGAGGCCTGCATACCACAGAAAAAAAAATAAAAAATAAAGTTGGGTAGAAGACCTAAACAGACATTTCTCTGAAGACATACAAATGGCCAATAGGCACATGAAAAGATGCTCAGAATCACTAATTACTAGAGAAATGCAAATCAAACCTACAATGAGGTACCACCTCACACTGGTCATAATGACCATCATTAAAAATTCTACAAGTAACAAATGCTGGAGGGGGTGTGGAGAAAAGGGAATGCTCCTACACTGTTGATGGGAATGTAAGTTAATGCAGCTACTATGGAAACCAGTATGGAGGTTCCTTAAAAAACTAAAAATAGAGTTACCACATGATCCTGAAATCCCACCCCTGGGAATATATCTGGAAAAGATGAAAACTCTAATTCAAAAAGGATACATGCATGCCAATGTTCATAGCAGCGATATTTACAACAGCCAAGACATGGAAGCAATGTACATGTCCACTGACAGATGAATGGATATGGTGGAATATTACTCAGCCATAAAAAAGAATGAAATATTGCCATTTGCAGAAACATGGATGGACCTAGGGATTATCATACTAAATGAAGTAAGTCAGACAAAGACAAACATTATATGATATTACTTATATGTGAATCTAAAAAATGATACAAATGAACTTATTTACAAAACAAACAGACTCACAAATATAGAAAACAAACTTATGGATACCAAACAGGAAAGAGGGGGAAGGATAAATTAGGAGTATAAGATTAACAGATACACAAGGATAGTTCAACATATATATACTACTATATATAAAATAGATAAAAAACATATATATACTACAATATATAAAATAGATAAAAAACAAAGATTTACCATATAGCACAGGGAAGTATATTCAATATCTCATAAAAACCTATAATGGAAAATAACCTGAAAAAGTGTGTGTGTATATGTATGTATCTGTATATATATAAATATAAAACTGAGTCACTTTGCTGAACGCCTGAAACTAACACAATATTGTAAATCAAGTATAATTCAATAAAATAAACAAGCAAATGAACAAATAAATAATTTGTAGAGTGAATTAACAAAAAGATGTTGAGGAAACTAAATATCCATATGCAAAGAATGCAGTAGGACCATTATCTTACACAATATACAAAAACTAATGGATCAAAGACCTAACATAAGACCTGAACGTATAAAAGTCCTATAAGTAAATACAGGGAAAAACTTGTTGACACTGGATTCAGCAATGATTAATTGGACATAACACCAAGAGCACAGGCCACAAAGTAAAAACAGATAAACTGGACTACATCAAAATCCTAAACTTGTTCATCAAAGCACACTCAATCAAGTGAAAAGACACTATGAAATGGGAGAAAATATTTGCAAATGATATAACTGAGTATAAGTAAAAATTGAGAATATATAAAGACCTCTAAAAGGGTCTGATCACCAGTTCCACCACGGCAGGGGGCCTTTCCCCAATTCAATCTTCAACACTAATATCATAAAAAATACAGAGCTGATGACTAAATAAACATCAAAACCATACATAATGCACAGAAATGTACAAAATGAAAGTAGCAGTGCCTTGAACAAAATGAACTATAGCTTATCATTGAAGGTATCACACCAATTCATAAGCTTTTATTAACATGCTTCAAAATTAGGTGTTGAGGTAGAATGAATAAAGGCACACACAGGTGACAAAATATGTAGCGTGAACAACAGTTTAGTCAACAGCCTCACAGATATGAGGATGAGAACCTGGGCAATGTTATTCCTAGGAGAAATTCCTATACCATTTACTGAAGTTCATAAAGGATGGTCATTAGTATGTGCAAGCAACATTGTCACAGTGCCCTTGAGACATGCTTCTGTGACACTCCTCAACCAGAATAAAAACCTGGAAAGACTTATCAGTTAGGCTCTCATGATACTTTCTACCTCACATTGTAGAACATGCTGTCCACTCCAGTAAGCAGCTTCAAGTGGTGGTTTTGTATGCAGCTAGAGAATACTGCAACATATGAGGGAAAGTACTCTCCACAAAAACTTTCTGTTGCCAATAAACCCACTCCACAGAGTCCACCAGAAGTTGTCCACTAACTAAAAGTGGATTATCACAGTAAAAAAACTGGACAAAATTTCAGACCCTAGGAATATCTATTTCAGAAGCAAGTTTTAGAGTCAAATCAAGCAAACTTAAAGAACATATGAAATCAGGAAGTGTCTACATTACCCAACTAGGAAGAGCACTCCAAGAGAGAAAAAACTATAAGATACGGGGGTCAGATATGATAGGATCTTGAGATGGGACCATGTTCTCTACCCACAGACGCCAAGCTAAGAGCCTGAAAAGGTTCACATATGCTCCTCTTGTAGGACTGGGGATCAAAGAGAGGATGTCTGTCCATGGTCCTTACCGTTTTCCTAAGTAACAATTACGTAAGGTTCAGTCAACCTGGCCGCCACTCGCATCACTGAAGTATGCGGCAAAAGCAGGATGGAAGAAATGGCTGGGAAATCTAACTAAGCAGACAGGGCTTCAGACAGCTCCATGTAGGTTATGAGGTCCAGACGGAATTAATGTACAGCCAGTGTTCACTATCTGTTACTATCTGTTGATTACATCTTCTCAGAACATCAAATTGGGATTAAACTGACATAGGTTCAAGGCTTGGACTCTGGAGGCATCAGCTCTTATCTCTACGGACTAAGAACTGAGCATCCAGTGGAATCAAGACCCGAAGGAGAGATGAAGGGGCAAGAGACCCCTTTAAAACAGCCCGCCTCATGCTTCTTAAAGTCAAGAAAGACCGAGTTCACAGAAGGCATGTAACAAAGTGCTGTGGATCAAGATATAAAGACTGACTTTATCTTCGTTGCAGCTGCAGCACCACTGGAAGGTGAGGGGGTAAATTTCACAGGTTGAAGCACAGAGTGATAAGTTGCAGAGAAAAATTTCCTCTGAAAGTTCACAAGAAATAAACTTTTGTTTTCCCAGAGAACTCTCCCAACAATGGGAGAGTTTCCCAATGCCCTTCTGACATCTGACCTGTGTTCACACTTTTGCTACTTTCCCACTCGTTAGGTTTACTGATACTTTCATGTCACTCTTGACAGTCCAGGGCTCATTCTCTTGCTTCAAGATGGAGATAATACTCAGATCAGAAAAAGAAATTCCTGCTTATTAGAAATAAGAAATGTGAAGTGCTGTGGCTCTTCCAGAATCCCAGCTCTTTGTTCAGCTGGATAGTAAAGACATTACAGGTGGGTCTGCAAAAACATTTCACAAATTCATCCACCGCCTCCTTTTGAACGCAGAGGGAACAGTGTAATACGCAGACACCTAGCTCTCTTCCTAGAACTACTGAATCTAAAGCACAGGGATAGAAAACACAGGAAATTGGGTATTTTAAAAGTTTCCCATTGTGCTTTATAAATACTCAAGCTCTGGAACAACCCTCGACGTATCATGAAATGGGCAGATCACCTGAAGAAAAGGACAGTTTAAACTACTGACACTGCACATCCTGAAGCATTTCACGTCCAAGTCAACAGGGATTTCAGATCAGTCAAGCAAAACAGGGGCTCCCAAGAGGCACACAGGAAAAATGCAAAGATATCCAAGAGCAGATCCCAACTTCTAGAGGGAGGGAAGTTATCCTCACCCACAGAGAGCAGGTTCCTGGAGGTCTCCTCCATCACGTCCCTATACAAGGCCCTCTGAGCAGGGTCCAGGCGTTCCCACTCCTGAGTGAATCCTACGGCCACATCCTTGAAGGTCAACGGTGCCTGAAATGAAACACATTTCACCAAGGGGCCATGAGGAGAGTCCTTATTTTTACACAACGTGAGAAGGGGAGACAGGTGTAACAATCAATCTGGTTGAAATATGTAAATGGCAAAGCTATGTAAAGGTATTTGGAGCAAATTATGTGTCTCTAATTTTAACATCTTATGTTTTATGTAAGAGAGTATGATATCTTCCAAACAATGTGGATTTTTTCATGTTTGTCGACAATACATGGAATACACACAAATAAAACTGAACACCAGACTGTCTATACAGATATTATGTTCTACACACTGAGATATTCAATACCTAGATGAGCTACATTATGAGTGGTGTTTTCAGAGATGACAAAGTCCAGAGTGGATTTAAAGAAAGGTCAGAATCTTAAATTATGATCAATAACAATCGCAATGACTAAAAGGGTCTGAGTACTTCCTATATGAGAAGCAGTACTCTAAATGTCACATGTATTAACTTGTTATCAACAGAATAGCTCATTAGAGAAAGATGTGTTCCCATCGTACAGAGGAGGAAACGGTCAGAGACACTCTGAGAAACTCGACTCAGGTCAACAGATAAGAAATGACACAGCAAACAGCTGAACTCAGGTGGCTGGGATCTGGAATTGAAGCTAAAGAGCGTCAAAGAATTGGAACTGCTACAATTCACAAATCTAAGGACACGTATAGGCTAAAAGGATGGAAGAAGATATTCTATCCTACAGAGAGTAAAGGTGGCTACATAATGTGAGACAAACTAAAAACAAAAACTGACACAAGGGACAAAGGATATTATATAATTAAAAATGGTCGATTCAATAAGAAAATTCAACAATTATAAATACACACACACACACACATCTAACAGAGCTCCCAAAGACGTGAAGTAAAAATTAACAGAAATGAAGAGAGAAATAGACAGCAGCACAGTAATAGTATGACATTATAAGACCCCAGTTTTATTTATGGACGGAACCATACAGAAGATCAATAAGGAAACAGAGGACATCAATAACACTACAGACTGACTGGACGTAACAGACACGTACACATCACAACCACCCAACAACAGCAGAAAAGACATTCTTCCCAACTATCCATGGGACATTCTCCATAACAGACCACATGTTGGGGCACAAACTAAATCTTAAATTTAAGAAGACTGAGGTCATAAAAGTATCTTATCTAACCACAATTAAATGAAAATACAAATAAGCAGACGGGGGAAAAAAAACACCAAAAATGTGGGGAAAAATGCCAAAAACCAATGGGCCAAAGAAGAAATCACAAAGGAATTTTTAAAATATCTGGAAGAAAATAAAAATAAAACATACCAAAATTTATAAGATACAGTGAAAGCTACACTGAAAAATGCTTATAATAAAGAAAAGATCTCAAATCAGAAATCTATTTTTACACCTAAAGGAAACAGAAAAAGAAGAAAAAAACTAAACCCAAATTTAGAAGAAGAGGTAAATCAGAAAGATGAGACCACAGATAAATGAAATAGAAAATAGAAATATATAAACTAACAAACCAAGAGCTGGTGTTTTGCATATATATGGAATTTAAGAAAAAAATGTCATGAAGAACCTAGGGGTAAAGCAGGAATAAAGACGCAGACCTCTTAGAGAACGGACTTGAGGTTATGGGGAGGGGGAAGGGTGAGCTGTGACAGGGCGAGAGAGAGTCATGGGCATATACACACTGACAAACGCAGTAAGGTAGATAGCTAGTGGGAAGCAGCTGCATGGCACAGGGATATTGGCTCGGTGCTTTGTGACAGCCTGGAGGGGTGGGATGGGGAGGGTGGGAGGGAGGGAGACGCAACAGGGAAGACATATGGGAACATATGTTTATGTATGACTGATTCACTTTGTTATAAAGCAGAAACTAACACACCATTGTAAAGCAATTATACCCCAATAAAGATGTTAAAAAAATAAAAAAAAAAATAAAAAAAAAGAGTTGGTGTTTTGACAAAATTTACAAACTTTTAGCTACACTATGAAAAAAACAAGATTCAAATAACTAAAAACAGATATAAGAGGGGAGAGATTGCAACTGATGTCACAGAAATTTTTTACAGGATTATAAGTGAGTACGATATACAATAATAGGCCAAAAAATTACATAATATAGAAGATAGAGGAAAATTCTCAGAAACATATAACCTACTAAGCCCTAATCACTGAGAAAAAGTCTGAACAGAAATATAACTGAAGAGATTCAAGCAGTAATCAAAAACTTCAAAGAAAAACCTAGGATCAGATGGCTTAACTGCAGAATTTTACCAAATATTTACGGAAGAATTACCTCATATCCTAATAAAGATCTTCTGAAGAGTTGAAGAAGGAACACTGGCAAACTTGTTCTATGGAGCTGGCATGATTCTGATACCAAACTCAGAGAAAAACACAAGAAGGAAGGAAAACTACAAACTAATATCCCCGATGAACACTGATAAGAATATCATTAACAAAATACTAGCAAACCAAATTCACAGCAAATTAAAACAATTTTACATCATGACCAAGTGGAATTTATAAGGCAAGGATGATTCAACATACAGAAATCAATTAATGCAGTGCACCACATTAACAGAATAAATCAACCCATGATCATCTCAACTGCAGAAAAAAGCATTTGACAAAATTCAACAACCTTTCAGGATAAAAACCTCAACAAACTAGGAACAGTAAACTATCTCAACATAAGAAATGCCATATATGAAAAGAACACAGTGATCAACACATGCTCAATGGTGAAAGAGTGAAAGCCTTCCCTCTCAGATCAGGAAGGAGTCAAGGATGCACTCTCTGCGCTACTGTCCAAAAAAGTACTGAAAGCCTTAGCCAGAGTAATTAGACCAAAAAAAAAAAGAAAAAAAAATCAAAAAAGTAAAATTATCTTTTTTAGTAGATGATGGTTTATAAAACTGTAAAACTGTAAAGATTCCACAAGAAAACTGCTACATCAAAAAACAATTTTAGAAAAGTTGCAGGATATGACAACATGCAAAAATCAGTTGTACTTCTATACACAATGCACAAAGTCAAATGAAAATTAGAAAACAATCCTATTTCTATAGCATCAAAAAGAATTAAATACTTAGGAACAGATTAGCCAAGGAGGTAAAAGACTTGCACACTGAAAACTACTAAATGTTGCTAAAAGAAATCTAAGATGATACAAATAAATAGAAAGACATCCTATACTCATGGACTGGAAGACTTAAAATACCCAGAAAATCCTAAATGTTTTATAGATTCAGTGGAATCCCTATCAAAATTCCAATGGCAATTTTTGCAGAGATAGAAGAAAACATGGTAAAACTGATACGGAATCTCAAGGGACCCCCAAATAGCCAAAATATTCTTGAAAAAGAAGATGGAGGCCACCCTTCTTTAGATTTCAAAACATAGTACAAACAAAGTAATCAAGAATGGTGTGGTATTGGGACTCATCTGGCGGTTCAGTGGTTAGGACTCACTCTCACTGCGGAGGGCCTGGGTTCCATCCCTGGTCGGGGAACTAAGATCCTACAAGCAGCGAGGCTTGACCAAAAAAAAAAAAAAAGATGGTGTGGTATTGGCATAAACACAGATACTTAAAACCAATGGAACAGATTAACTCAGAAATAATTCTTGGAATATATGTAAAGTGTATTTAAATATATATATATATATATAATTTATTTATTTTTGGCTGTGTTGGGTCTTTGTTGCACACGGGCTTTCTCTAGGTGTGGGAAGCAGGGGCTACTCTTCGTTGCGGTGCACGGGCTTCTCATTGTGGTGGCTTCTCTTGTTGCGGAGCACGGGCTCTAGGCACACAGGCTCAGTAATTGTGGCACACAGGCTCAGCAACTGTGGCTCGCAGGCTCTAGAGTGCAGGCCCATTAATTGTGGCGCACAGGCTTAGTTGCTCCGCAGCATGTGGGATCTTCCTGGACCAGGGCTCGAACCTGTGTCCCCTGTATTGGCAGGTGGATTCTTAACCACTGTGCCACCAGGGAAGTCCCTTAAAATGTATTGACAAGGGTACAAAGACTACAATAAGGGGAAAGGACAGTCTAACAAATGGTGCTGGGAAACCAGGTATCTACCAGCAAAAGAATGAAACTGGAACCTTACCTGCATCAAACGCAGAAACTTCTTTGTGTCAGAGGAGGCAATCAACACAGTGAAAAGAAAACCTCTAAAGAACGGAGGTGATGGAAGTGATTTAAAGAATTTCTAAAATCAGTGATGGAATAAAACACCCTCTATCACTGATGTTCCTGAACTTTCCATTCCATTCTCAATCATGAAGATTTTGAAGTCAGTGACTCACTCATTTAAATTCAACTGCATTAGAAAAAGTCAGAGCAAATTTCTACTTACTGGTCTCTTTTCTAGCACTTACCAGGTATTGTGCATATTAATCCCATCACTTCCATGTGCAGCTTCTTTATCCCGGTTTACAGAGAGCAGACAGTGCATCCTGATGGCGCCCTAAGAAATCCTTGCTGCCCAGTAGCACTGACACCACGTCTCCAATCCATGGATGTGAATCCCTGCCCAGTGGGGACTCCTCACAAGTTCCAGGTCACTGAGTCATGGGGAGATAGGATCTAAGTGGAGATGACAGGCCCTGAGGGAAAGACCCGGGTGAGTATGAACGTACAGGTGTCAGGCAGGATACTTCAGAGTCAGAGATTAGCGTGTCCAAAGAAGGGCATTTCAGGAAGGACAGACAGAAGAAACAACTGAGAATATGACTTTACCTGAGAAAGAGCCATTTCTGACTCCTTTTCTTTCCTCTTCCTCCTCTTCAGGGCTTCTTCCTCAGACAACGTTGAGTCTTTAGAGGTTGACCTTGAAAGTTGAAAACAGGCTGTTTAATGCTTGGAATCAACACACCCCCTTCCTGAGTCACCACCACACACACAGGGAAGCCCTCAGCATGTGGAACAGACGGTCCTCTGCTGCCCACTGTCCCAGGAGGGGCTCAGGACAGTAACTCCCACACAGAGACCTACACAGGAGTTTCCCCACCCTTTCTTCAGATCAAGCTCCCCTCCTGGTGAGGCCCTCACGTACCCAGCAGCAGCGGGCACCTCAGTGGGACCCGACGATCCCCTGCAGGTCACAGACCAGCCCTGATCCATCCCCACGCAGAGCAGAGCCCTCACCCTCAGCCCAGATCTCAGCCCTCAGGAACAGGGGGACCCAGAGTCACGATGCTCAGTGACGGATCCAGATTAGAGTCATCTGGACGTTAAATATTACTGAGGCTGGGCCTCACCGCAGCTATTTAAAGGGGAATCTTTGGTCAGGGGGCACAAAACATGTATATGCAAAATGCCTCACTGATCTAATGGGAAGCCTGGGTTAAGCACCACTCAGAGGAAAGCCCAACACACCTTCTTTTCCTTTTCCAGCTTAATAGAGGTGTAACTGACGAATAAAAATGGTGCACATATAAGGTGTACAATGTGATTATTTGACAGATGTATACACTGTGAAATAATTATCACAATCAAGTAATTCACACTTCCATCAACTCACAATTACCGTTTTGTGTCTGCGTAGTGAGAACACTTAAGTGATACTCCCTCAGCAAATTTCAAGTATATAGAAACACAGTATGGATAACTATAGTCAGCGTGATGTATATTAGATCCCCAGAACTTATTCATTTTATACCTACAAGTTTGTACCCTACGACCAACATCTCCCCATTTTCCCCACCACCCAGCTCCTGGTAACAAAACCACCTTGCTCTTCTGTTTCTATGAGCTTGACAATTCTAGTTTCCACAAAGAATATCTTTCTCTGTGAGGCTTATTTCACCTAGCGTGTTCTCTAGGTTCATTTATTTTGTAATAAATGGCAAAATCCTTCATTTCTATGGCTGAATAACATCTGTGCGTACACACGCACACACACACTTTCCTTATCCATTCTTTCGTGGACAGACATTTCGGTGCTTTCCACACCCTGGCTGTGGCGAATGATGCAGTGCTGCCCACAGGAGTGCAGGTATTTCCCTCAGAACAGCAGTTTCGTTTCATTAGCTATCGAGCCGGAACAGTCTCTGATAGATTGTGTGCCTGTTCTGTTTTTAATTTACTGAGGAACCTCCACATCGTTTTCCATGATAGTCGTACCATTTACATTCCCACCATCAGTGCACAAGGGTTCCCTGTTCTCTGTATTGTGCGTGCGTGCGTGTGTGTCTGCATGTTTTGGGACAGAAAGGGAGAGGATAATAGAGTAACCAGCACTGGCCTGGCAACAAGAAAGTCTCATACAGCTTCCCAAGGATGAGCCTCTGGACTGCACATCACTGTGGTGTTCCTGCCCTCTGATTCTTGGAAAAATCTTTCCCTACATCACAGGACTTTGTCTCCTGTTAAGTTGTGCCCATAGACCCATACATAACAAGACCTCCCTAACGAAAACCTTCTGCCATTTGAAGCTTAGTACTCATAATTTCCCTTCTGGACTCAAACTTAAAATTCTCATGAGGTCCAACACACTCTCCATGTACCTGATAATATCCCCCTCCTATCCTGCTATAAAATACCAGAAAACATTGCAACCTCTAATAACTCGTGCATTCATGCTGGAATAATATATATGAAGACACCTAAGGACCCTCTAGACCCAAGACACTATATTTTAATATAAAGCATTATTTTTTTAAATTAATTAATTTATTTTTGGCTGTGTTGGGTCTTCGTTGCTGCCCGCAGGCTTTCTCTAGTTGCAGAGAGCGGGGTTTTTTGTTTGTTTGTTTTTTGTGGTAGACGGGCCTCTCACTGTTGTGGCCTTTCCCGTTGCGGAGCACAGGCTCCAGACGCGCAGGCTCAGCGGCCATGGCTCACGGGCCCAGCCGCTCCGCGGCAGGTGGGATCTTCCTGGACCGGGGCACGAACCCGTGTCCCCCTGCATCGGCAGGCAGATTCTCAACCACTGCGCCACCAGGGAAGCCCCGGGGGCTACTCTTTACTGCGATGCACAGGCTTCTCATTGCGGTGGCTTCTCTTGTTGTGGAGCACGGGCTCTAGGTGCGCGGGCTTCAGTAGTTGTGGCACTCAGGCGCAGTAGTTGTGGCGCACGGGCTTAGTTGCTCTGCAGCACGTGGGATCTTCCTGGACCAGGGCTCGACCTGTGTCCCCTGCATTGGCAGGCGGATTCTGAACCACTGTGCCTTGGAACCAGGGAAGTCCCAGGACACTAATACTTTAATTCACAGTGCCCCTAGCCCAAACAATGTCATCTCCAAATCTAATAATAAAAGCAAGATGTCTCCAACGATGCACATGCCTCAATGAGAACATACATCTTCCAAGGAAACACTCCAACTTCTCTTTTGTATCTTTCAAAGTACATCTAAAAGTTTCTTCACTTGCAACCCAAAATACTCAAAAATACCAAAAGTAACCCAGAAAATGATTTCTGAGACTTTCCCTATATTACTCCATGGGTTGCATGATGATGACGCTTGCCCTCCAAAAATCCCAACAAAAGTCAGCGTGTGGAGCGGATGCTGGGGGGCACCCTCTAGATCCAGCACCTCGGGACTAAGGCACCCATCCTCCTGCACCCACAGCTCCCTGTGGGCTCAGCTCAGGCCTGGGTTCTACCATCACTGCACGATATTTATTTCCCTCTGCCTATTTCCACGCCTTACATTCCTCCTCAGCTGTGATCATGACTTACCCAATTAAAACTAGTACATGCAAAGCTGTTTCAGCACGTGTCCCAGGCAACCTGAGTTGACACCAGGGCACCCCAAACCATTCCATGCAGCCCACAACCACCCATAAACCCACTTGCAGATGCTCCAGCCAGAACTGAGACATGCCTTCCCAACATTCCGCACACCCACTGATCCCACAAAGAACAGGAGCACGCAGCATGCACTGGGCTCTTCTGTTTGACCACACCTGCTGCCATATCCCTCCTGCAGACCCCTCCACTTCCCCCATTTTACTACCTCTCCTAAGGGCACGGCTGAGCAAATAGGGCTAAAAGACACAGAGGCTTCTGGGCACAGACATCACAGTAGGAATGCTGCCACCCAAAGGACGCTAGGTATTCTGTATGAATATCAAGAAGTTGGCCCTCCTGGGAAAACTTGCCAGCAACTGGGGATGATATGGAGTCCAGTTACAAAGGCTACTGAGTTCAGTGAGGAAGTCTCCAAGAGAGAGGGTCCCCAGGTCTCACTGTGTCCTGATCTCCCCACGCACAGCTAACTGCAAGATACCCTAGCTCTCTACGAGGGGCCTCCTTCACGCCCCCTTACGTTCCTGACTTTCTGCCTGCCTTTAACACAGTGAAATCGGTATCCCCGACTCTGAACAGATGAACTGCTGGAAGGCAAAAACCTCTTGTCAAGGTGGCAACTGGTCCCTGGATGTTTAGAGCCTGGAAGGCCTGAGAACTATAGTGGATCAATGACACAGCGGACTACACGTGAGGACACCTCAGCACACTGCCTGCGGGTACCAGTCTAAAGTGCTTACTAGGGTTCTCTAAATCGTTTTGTTCTTATTTTGAGTAATAAGCAGCCACAGCGGATAATTAAAGTTGAAATTTCCAAAAAGAATTACCATATGATCCAGCAATCTCAACCCTGGGCATATATCCAGACAAAACTATAATTCAAAAAGATACGTGCACCTCTATGTTCACAGCAGCACTATTCACTATAGCCAAGACATGGAAACAACCTAAATGTCCACCGACAGATGAATGGATAAAGAAGATGTGGTACATATATACAATGGAATACTACTCAGCCATAAAAAAGAACACAATAATGCCATCTGCAGCAACATGGTTGCAACTAGACATTATCATACAAAGTGAAGTAAATCAGAAAGACAAAGATAAATACCATATGATATCACTTATATGTGGAATCTAAAACATGACACAAATGAACCTATCTACAAAAACAGAAGCAGACTCATGGACATAGAGAACAGACTTGCAGTTGCCAAGGTGGAGGGGATTAGCGGAGGGATGGAGTGGGAGGTTGGGGTTAGCAGAGGTAAGCTTTTATATATAGAATGGATAAACAATAAGGTCCTACTGTATAGCACAGGGAACTGTACTCAATATCCTATGATAAACCATGATGGAAAATAATTTTTTTTTAAAAAGTTCAAATTTCCAGAACAAATATGCAAACCATCATCATCACTTGTCCAAGTCCCTTGGTCTGCCCTGAGGATTACTCAGCCCAACCCACAGTCCTAGCATCTAAACACATTCTCAAAGTGATGTACTGCAGTCATCCTGGGAAAAAGAGGAACGCTGTGTGCACTTCAATGGAGGGAAAACGGGAAAGACTCAAAATAATCAATGGAGAAGGGCGTTTCTGTTGATGACAATTGATACAGAGGCAGTAAAACCTGGGTAACCTGACGGAGATTGTCAGCAGGGGATGGGGAGACCTCCCTGAGCCTAGACCTGAAGGAGCACAAGGGGCCTGAGCCATGGTGACTTCAAGGCCAAAGGTAAGAACAGGAACTAAGATCTGACACAGAAAAGGTGTTGGTGTTTGGAAACAGAGAACAGGTGAGTATGACTGGGGCACAGTGAACCATGAGAAAAGCTCCCAGGATGAGGCTGGGGACACTGGCAGGGCCCTGATGACACAGGGCTGAGCAGCCACAGGGAGGAGTCGGGATTTTGTCCTGAAGACAAATGGAGGCCATTGGAGGTCTGAGTGCCAGGACCGACATAAACTCCCTTTAGGTTTACACTTAATGCAGAGAAGGGTGACTGACTATGGGCTCTCTGACTCGGAGCCTAGCTTCCGGCCTCCATCCTAACACTTTTGTTTTTCATCCTGG